CCCAAAAAAATCGAGTGGTTATGGAGTTATGTCGTTTTGAAGCGACATAGCTCCGCCGCTCTAAAAAAATCTTGGAGATATGACTATTCAAAGCGACATAACTTCGCCGTCGATCTTGGCAGATTCTACGGACCTCCCCGAGTAGCCCCTCCCTTTTTGGCCGCTATCGGGCTTTATTTGGCCGAGATATAGCCATTTAAAGTTTTCCCAAAAAAATCGAGTGGTTATGGAGTTATGTCGTTTTGAAGCGACATAGCTCCGCCGCTCTAAAAAAATCTTGGAGATATGACGTTTCAAAGCGACAAAGCGAGCCATTTAAAGTTTTCCCAAAAAAATCGAGTGGTTATGGAGTTATGTCGTTTTGAAGCGACATAGCTCCGCCGCTCTAAAAAAATCTTGGCAGTTAATCAATTCAATAATCCAATGGTTACATACAAATTTTTTACAAAAACCGGATCGGGAATGATGTCAACCTTTTCTGATGATTTTTATTGAATATCTCGGCCAAATAATGTCCGATTTTTAAATTTTATACTATTTTGGACTCGTAAGGACCAGTATATTCGATTGGCATTCAAAAAATTCAAATCTAAATTTTTAGCAAATTTGACGAAAAAGACAGTGGTTACATCATGTTTTTTTCCAAAAACCGGGTCGATTCGAAAATCAAAACTTTTTTGAACATTTATTTTCAATATCTCAGGTAAAACCCGTCCGATTTTGAAATCTTATACCTTTTTGTAATCGTACGGAAGCCTATTATAGATTGACAGTTAATCAATTCAATAATCCAATGGTTACATACAAATTTTTGACAAAAACCGGATCGGGAATGATGTCAACCTTTTTTGATGATTTTTATTGAATATCTCGGCCAAAAAATGTCCGAGTTTTAAATTTCATACCATTTTGCACTCGTAAAGACCAGTATATCCGATTGGCATTCAAAAAATTCAAATCTAAATTTTTAGAAAATTTGACGAAAAAGACAGTGGTTACATCATGTTTTTTTCCAAAAACCGGGTCGATTCGAAAATCAAAACTTTTTTGAACATTTATTTTCAATATCTCAGGTAAAACCCGTCCGATTTTGAAATCTTATACCTTTTTGTAATCGTACGGAACCCTATTATAGATTGACAGTTAATCAATTCAATAATCCGCCGCTCTAAAAAAATCTTGGAGATATGACGTTTCAAAGCGACATAACTTCGCCGTCGATCTTGGCGGATTTTACGGACCTCCCCGAGTAGCCCCTCCCTTTTTGGCCGCTATCGGGCTTTATTTGGCCGAGATATAGCCATTTAAAGTTTTCCCAAAAAAATCGAGTGGTTATGGAGTTATGTCGTTTTGAAGCGACATAGCTCCGCCGCTCTAAAAAAATCTTGGAGATATGACGTTTCAAAGCGACATAACTTCGCCGTCGATCTTGGCAGATTCTACGGACCTCCCCGAGTAGCCCATCCCTTTTTGGCCGCTATCGGGCTTTATTTGGCCGAGATATAGCCATTTAAAGTTTTCCCAAAAAAACGAGTGGTTATGGAGTTATGTCGTTTTGAAGCGACATAGCTCCGCCGCTCTAAAAAAATCTTGGAGATATGACGTTTCAAAGCGACATAACTTCGCCGTCGATCTTGGCGGATTCTACGGACCTCCCCGAGTAGCCCATTCCTTTTTGGCCGCTATCGGGCTTTGTTTGGCCGAGATATAGCCATTTAAAGTTTTCCTAAAAAAATCGAGTGGTTGTGGACACGATATTCACGACATAATCTCGCCATGATCAACGGCGAAGTTATGTCGCTTTGAAACGTCATATCTCCGCCGCTCTAAAAAAATCTTGGCAGTTAATCAATTCAATAATCCAATGGTTACATACAAATTTTTGACAAAAACCGGATCGGGAATGATGTCAACCTTTTCTGAGGATTTTTATTGAATATCTCGGCCAAATAATGTCCGATTTTTAAATTTTATACTATTTTGGATTCGTAAGGACCAGTATATTCGATTGGCATTCAAAAAAATTCAAATCTAAATTTTTAGCAAATTTGACGAAAAAGACAGTGGTTACATCATGTTTTTTTCCAAAAACGGGGTCGATTCGAAAATCAAAACTTTTTTGAACATTTATTTTCAATATCTCAGGTAAAACCCGTCCGATTTTGAAATCTTATACCTTTTTGTAATCGTACGGAACCCTATTATAGATTGACCGTTAATCAATTCAATAATCCAATGGTTACATACAAATTTTGACAATAACCGGATCGGGAATGATATCAACCTTTTTTGATGATTTTTATTGAATATCTCGGCCAAAAAATGTCCGATTTTTAAATTTGATACCATTTTGCACTCGTAAGGACGATTATATTCGATTGGCATTCAAAAAATTCAAATCTAAATTTTTAGAAAATTTGACGAAAAAGACAGTGGTTACATCATGTTTTTTTTCCAAAAACCGGGTCGATTCGAAAATCAAAACTTTTTTGAACATTTATTTTCAATATCTCAGGTAAAACCCGTCCGACTTTGAAATCTTATACCTTTTTGTAATCGTACGGAAGCCTATTATAGATTGACAGTTAATCAATTCAATAATCCAATGGTTACATACAAATGTTTGACAAAAACCGGATCGGGAATGATGTCAACCTTTTTTGATGATTTTTATTGAATATCTCGGCCAAAAAATGTCCGATTTTTAAATTTTATACCATTTTGCACTCGTAAAGACCAGTATATTCGATTGGCATTCAAAAAATTCAAATCTAAATTTTTAGAAAATTTGACGAAAAAGACAGTGGTTACATCATGTTTTTTTCCAAAAACCGAGTCGATTCGAAAATCAAAACTTTTTTGAACATTTATTTTCAATATCTCAGGTAAAACCCGTCCGATTTTGAAATCTTATACCTTTTTGTAATCGTACGGAACCCTATTATAGATTGACAGTTAATCAATTCAATAATCCGCCGCTCTAAAAAAATCTTGGAGATATGACGTCTCAAAGCGACATAACTTCGCCGTCGATCTTGGCGGATTCTACGGACCTCCCCGAGTAGCCCCTCCCTTTTTGGCCGCTATCGGGCTTTATTTGGCCGAGATATAGCCATTTAAAGTTTTCCCAAAAAAATCGAGCGGTTATGGAGTTATGTCGTTTTGAAGCGACATAGCTCCGCCGCTCTAAAAAAATCTTGGAGATATGACGTTTCAAAGCGACATAACTTCGCCGTCGATCTTGGCGGATTCTACGGACCTCCCCGAGTAGCCCATCCCTTTTTGGCCGCTATCGGGCTTTGTTTGGCCGAGATATAGCCATTTAAAGTTTTCCCAAAAAAATCGAGTGGTTGTGGACACGATATTCACGACATAATCTCGCCATGATCAACGGCGAAGTTATGTCGCTTTGAAACGTCATATCTCCGCCGCTCTAAAAAAATCTTGGCAGTTAATCAATTCAATAATCCAATGGTTACATACAAATTTTTGACAAAAACCGGATCGGGAATGATGTCAACCTTTTCTGATGATTTTTATTGAATATCTCGGCCAAAAAATGTCCGATTTTTAAATTTTATACCATTTTGCACTCGTAAGGACGAGTATATTCGATTGGCATTCAAAAAATTCAAATCTAAATTTTTAGCAAATTTGACGAAAAAGACAGTGGTTACATCATGTTTTTTTCCAAAAACCGGGTCGATTCAAAAATCAAAACTTTTTTGAACATTTATTTTCAATATCTCAGGTAAAACCCGTCCGATTTTGAAATCTTATACCTTTTTGTAATCGTACGGAACCCTATTATAGATTGACAGTTAATCAATTCAATAATCCGCCGCTCTAAAAAAATCTTGGACATATGACGTCTCAAAGCGACATAACTTCGCCGTCGATCTTGGCGGATTCTACGGACCTCCCCGAGTAGCCCCTCCCTTTTTGGCCGCTATCGGGCTTTATTTGGCCGAGATATAGCCATTTAAAGTTTTCCAAAAAAATCGTGTGGTTATGGAGTTATGTGTCAAAATAATTGTGTTAACCAGGACTACCTGCTGGCCAAATTCCATTAAGATCGTCCTTGTAGTTAAGGAAATATTGAGGGAAATGTGTTTGCAGCCCATTTCCGTGCGCTTCGCGACTGAAATTTTACAAGTCAAAATACAAGACCTGGGATTCTTAGATGATGCAGATCGATGCAGGGGATCTATACGATCCTAACGCATCATGTCTTTTAAAAATCTGCAAGGACATGACAGAGTTATGTCCTTTTTTTGTTACAAAAAATGCCTTCATATAATTTTGCTTTTTTAATTTAAATGTGTTTTTATCTTTTCAGAATGACAAATTAAGGACTACTTTGAGCTTGAAGGACTTTCACGTGTGAAAATGCAGAGTTTTCCAGGATCGGACTTTAATTAAGCCAGATATAGTTATTTTACGTTTAGATTAGCTAAAATTGCTCGATTTGTATAATTTTAAGAGAAATCACAGAAAATAACATAAAACAACAAGAAATTTATAAATTTAAACATAAATAAATAAATTACTTAAAATAAAAACCAAATTCCTGCTGTTTTTTCTTCAAAATTCAAAATTTATCGGTTTTTAGAAACATATTGCATACCCGAAAGGGGCTTCTGTTGGCAGCCGCTGGCTGCCGAGATTTTTCTTAAAATCTGCCAAAATACCAGGCGAACAGAAATGCTCAGAAGGTCGACAAAAAATATTTTTAGCTGCCGAAAAATTTCATTGCATACCCGCACGGGGCGCCCTGGCCGCCGGCTGGACCCCAAATTTGCACTAAAATTCCACTCAAATACCAGGCGAACAGAAATGCGCAGAAGGTCGACGAGTTCTTTGAATAAAAATGTTCATTGCATAGCATTAAGGGGCAGAAATGTAACTCATTTAATATGAGTGCTGTTAAATAACAGTTCATGTATAAAGAGTGCTGTAAGCCGGCTGTTAAACAACAGCTGCAGCTGCAGCTAATGGAAAAGGGCTCCTGAAAGAAAAAGCATACATGTTTTTGGACCATTATAATGCACATTTTGCAGGGATCTGATCTTTAAGGTTTCTAAGGACTATATCGATGGTATGGTATAACCAAGGATATTCTAGTCAACTAGAAACCATTTAGGGGGCGGAACTGTTTATGGGGGCGGCTGTTAAAGAAAATCATACATATTTTGGAGCCTGTTCCCACGCATTTTGCAAGAACTTCATCCATTAGGTTCGCTAGGACTATATCCATGATGTGAAATAACCAAGGACATGTAGGTCAACTAGGTACCATAAATAGCGATCATTTGCTGATTAAATGTTGTCCATGGGTGTGGCAGAGTTGGCTGATACAGCTGGCGGCGCAGGTCCGCCGTTCAGAAATATTGCTTTTGTTTTATTTGAAAGATACATAACTCCACCGAAGAAAAAACGATATTTGTTGATGTTGTTGATGTTGACGATGTTTTCCATGAACGTTGGCAGATTTGGCTGAAAAATACAAAATGAAAAATATATTAGTTTTTGTAAACAAAAATAGATCGGCTTAATTACGTCAGACGTTGGATATACATATGTTACTCTTAAGGATTCGTGAGTCTTCAAATCGACAGAATTCAATTCAAAATGTTGATTTGAGAATCGGCGCAGATTGGCAACGAGTTAATTTTGGTCATAATTAAGATCTGATTTTGTTTAAGGTATATCCATGGCATAAAATATCCAAGCTCATGCAGGTGCCAACATAGGTGAATGTTTTGTTGTCCATGACAGATAAGCTGCAAAAATAATAATAAAAAAAAAAAAGAATTAGTATTTTGCAAGCTTTTAATATCGGTTAAATTAAGTCTGACTTCAGAAGGATATGGCCCTTCGGTTCTTCAATATCTGAAGAGTACTCAGAAATTGTGATTTCGCAACCGACAAATAATTTAGGAATCACTTGAATGTAACTATTGCTCCATCTGGATGAATCCTCAGAAGGCGACAAGTTTCAATTGATATTCCCGATTCGGACAATATTAGCCCGACAATTTTCGCCTAAAATAGATTCAAAAAGCTTAACTCGACTGCTGCTAATCGTAATCGCCGTTCAAGGTTAGATAACGGGCAAGCGAGCATTAGTAGATAAGAACTGCGAAAACACAAGCCCGAACATATGTAAGCAGAGAGAATCGCCAAATATATACATACAGACATACATACATATGTATGTACACATGTGTATATGAGGGATGGTGCCTTATCTTCTTATTTATCGCGCACCCACGAATTTATTTGCGAAGCAAGATGGAAATTACGGTAAAATAAACCGTTTAACATGCGCGAAAGTCTATTAAAACGTTGTGACTTCTTTAAATTTTGATTTCTTAATCATTTTATATGCTTATTTGGCGAAGTGAGAAATTACAAAACAATAAACACTTTAAAATGCGTGAAAGTCCATAAATTCGATGGACATCTTCAAGCTTTGATTTCATTTTTGTCGAACTTTTGAATACGATGGCATTCATATGAGAATTTGCACTTATAATTTTTGTAAAACAGCTTTACTCGACGGCTGCCGTTTAACACTCACCCAAGCATATGTACATATCCATAGAGAATCGCCTTATCTACTTAAACATCAGCACATGCACAAAAAGCTATAACAAAATAATAATAGGCTTAATAGACTATCACTCGCAGCTCGCAAGATCATGCCCTGTTGATTAACAGGGCCACACTGACTCAGAATAAAGTTGCGCGGATCCATAAGACGGCGCTCAAAAAGATGAGCACTCTCACGAACAGACGAGCGCTTCACTGCCTTCGCGGCTATTGATTGGACCAATCAGCGATCAGCACCAAATTGAATCGTGAGTGCGTGAGCGTAAGCAGAAAATTGACAGCGAACACACACACGAACAGCTGACTGCTTATCTCTGGCGTTCTCTTGGCTCATCTCTGCGCGTACACGTGTTTGTGTGGATGTGGGTGTGTGTGCGTGTGTGTGTATGATAAGCCATGTGCCGCATCATTCTCACTCGTATTTTGATCGCTTGCTTATTTTCTGTGCGCCGGTTTTTTCGTTCAGATGAGTCGCTCATAATTTAACACTCTGTTACATTGAGTAATAAACAGATCTGTATATTTACTACTCAATGAGTCTGTTAGTTTGACCCCTCAGTATTCAATATGAACATGGTTTTATTAGGAGCTGCTGACCCGAAGCAGTCTGAAAGGGTAAAATACATATATTATTTAGCTTATTTAATTGCTGCTTTCTTACAAATCGGATTAAAAAAATAAGGAGAATTTTCGTCCCAATTATCATACGCACAATTCGAGCACCTATTAATGTTACATACAGTTGCAGTCCGAAAACATATACCATTAGACCATATACCATACAAACGGCAATCTCTTGAGTATATTTACTTATAATATTTTCACAGAAACCAGAAATATTAACTCAGGCAAATGATTTGCGAGCCTCTTACTTGCTTTGTATTTCAATTATCTGTGTCAAGAGAAATCATATGCTTTTCGGCTCAGCATCTCATCTCTCTTCTTCTTCACTTATGTCCTGCATGCTGCAAATACGCGATGCCTTGCCGCAGGAAGTGCTTACAAGCTGCATGGCAACTACTTAAACTAAATTCGCAGCACTTTTTCTTTGCTGCCAAAAAGGTCGCAACGGAGAGGGGCACAGCACAACCATAAAACCGAATGCCTTTGGCGTTTGCTTCTGCTTACTGACCGGAAACGGAAAGGGAACTCGCGGCAGGGTACTAAGAAGTCGGCATTAAGAATTTAACTATTGCTATTTGGGACCGAGATTAGCCGCGTCGGGTGCGTCAATTTGCTGCTATTTAACCGCCTAAGCGGTTTGTAAGGGCTGAGCTACAGTTAAGGCAGTCTCTAGTCTCCAGCTGCCCCAAGGTCCCCAACTGGAAGAGCACCGCCTTCGCAGAAGTACGTAGTCAATGGTTCCACTCAAGGAGAGCTGCAAAGGTGACAGGCCGGCAGGAACGAGCCTTCAAAAGCACTACAGCATAGACGCAGACATGGTCTATGGGCAGCCTGAGAGGAGATTTTAAATATTAAAAAATCGATAAGATAAACTCAAATACTACTTACGTACAACACATCGAACACACACAACAGGCGCGGAGCGGTAGAAAGCACCTAAAAATACAGAAAATAAAGAAACAACAATCAAAAAATTAAAATAAATACAGCAACTCACAAATTTAAAGCAGCAACAACAAACGTTTGCAGAACGTAAAAATGTCGATTGTAAATAAATGTGGCGGCCGATAGATAGTATTTAATTAACGATAGTATTTAAATAACGTTGCTAGTTGAAGTAGAATCTGGCAATTGAGCTGCAATTAACAGAAAAACATGCATTATAAATAACACAGTCCAGTTTAATACAATTGCTTAAATCAACAACATATTGTACTGTATTTGTATTGGTATTTTTTACGAATACCGCGTCATATTTCAAATCCAATGCTACTGGCATTTTTAGCATCAATGTTGATGCGATAAACCATGAACTGCTCTGCACATGGCGCTTAATGTGAAATTTGAATATGCGAATCGAACAAATTTAATAACAGCCTTTGTTCACCATGCTTAAGAAATGTCACATTTTCAAGTTTCACACATTGGTGTTCCATTACCATTTAAATGTTAAAAACTGTGGGATTATTCAAATTTAAATAACAATTTGAAGTAACCGCTTGCCTTCGCTGCCTGCTCTATCAGCTGTTTATGGTATTGATAGTTTTATTTTTTCATAACATCGATACCAAATTCGATGAATCATCGCAAAAAACAAGAACTGTTCGGGGCGCACATTTTTGAAAAATGTGTGAAATGTGTTATTTTATCGAAAAACGTACAAGTCGCATTTTACACATTTTTCAAAAATGTAACATATATGTATATAGATATATCATACATATATCAACTCAACTGTTGAAGCTGCTAAAGAATATGTAGAGCTTATGAAATCGAAGATGTCGCCCATTACTTGACAATATTATAATATCCTCTATAAAGACATAAAAAATGCTCTAACTGACCGAATGCCCGACTGATAATCGACCAAATCGTAAGAGATATAAAACATGTTGCAAATGCACGTCAACAAAATGAATGGTTTGACAAAACTTAAGTTTAAAGATTGTCAGAGCAAAGTCTGAAGCTTCGCCCGCTTGTGGAAAACGTGAATTTATTTAACTGAAATTGTAGATATTATTCGAATAATTTGCCTTACCATCATTCGATTGGCACCAAACACATTTGCAGGATCTTTGTGAGATTTGATTTGATTTGATACGATCTTAACGCTTTTCGCAAAATTTAACACTCTGGGATGGGAAATGGTTATAATATGTTTTTAAATATCGCCTTACTATGCGATTCTCATGCAATGCTCATTCTAACTTATATCTCTCTCTCTCTCACTCTCCTTCTACACCTCTATTTCTCTCTGTCTCTCTCTTTCTCACTCGCTGTCTCTCTCTCTCTCTTTCTCTCACCCTCTCTCTATCTTTCTATATCTCACGCTCTTACTATCTTTCTCTCTAAATACCGTTCTGTCTGTCTCTCCCTCTTACTCTCTCCCTCCCTATATCTTTCCCTGTTATGTGCTTTTATTTACAGGGCATTTGTTAGTCGTGCGGCTGGATTTATTGCGCTCTTAACTTGTTAACTGTCATGTTAATTCCTTCGTAATACGCGTATTCATTATGTTAAATACTTAGCATGGGCCATGCGTCAGCTTTGCGGTTGTGTATTAGACTGTGTGTGTACGTGTGTGTGTGTTTGTGTGTGTGTGTGTGCACATAGAAGCTTTCGCTCTCTCTCCCCGAACAATAGCTAGATGAATGTGTAACACACTAATTAGTCGTGTATGCGATTCATAATGATAACAGTAATTAAAATACACGTGTGCGTGGGCAACAGAGGGCCGTGTGTGTGTGTGTGTGTGTGTGTGTGTGTGCGTGTGTGTTTGGAGTGTCGAGTGGCAAACAACAACAAGTGAAACTGTAGCTGGAACTCGGATTGGGATTGGGGCTGGGACTGGGAATGGGAATGGGGTTGGGGCAACAGCTTCAGCATTGTCTTTGGGCTTCGCATATTGCGTCCGTTGCCCGTGCTTTTGACTGCGATGCCGCTGCTTGCCACACGGTCTTCACTGTGTTGGTGAGCGGGCAGATGGGGGATGGCGGTGGGGGAGGGCGCTAGGCCTGGCGCCGCACATGCCGCATGCCCCACACGTTGACGCTTACTGCCTTTGGCGCTTGCTAATGCCCCAGTGTAGGCAAGCAGAGGCCAATACACACACACACACACACATACATACACATATACATATATATATATAGCAAATATTAAAATACACACACACAGACAGGCGCACTTGATCCTCACAGGATGCCATGTCATGTTTTCATTATGCTCATGTGTCTAAACAATTATCCTGCAGGCATAATTATGTCTGACGTTTATAAGCCTTGACACTTTCGGTTTTCGGTAACATGTCTAGCACACACACACACACACACACACACTCACAAAACACACACACTCGCACACACACATTAACGCTTATTTAAATGAGCAAAAATTAATTATCTTTGTTGCGAGCGAACTAGTTAAATAAATATATACAATATATATATATATATAAATATATTATATAGAATAGTCGGACAGTCCCCTGCCACGCCCCTTTTTGATGCCTTCTGTTGAAAAATTACGGGGCCTGGGCCAAAAGTTATTTTGGCGTAAAATTGAAAAATTCTTTGGGTCGAAGGAATTAAACGCAAGCTGATTCTTAATGTGTTTGCCCTAACTTGGGGTATACTCGTGTGCACAACGTGTATGTAACACATGTGAATAAATACGCATATTTTATTCTTGAAGCTGACAAATAGACTTTCGTTCATTCAGCCTTTGACGTGTCGAAACGGAAACTGAGTTTATATCCGATCCAGATGCAAATTTTCCGCTTAATTTCCACACTTGAGGGTGGAATTTCACAAATCGTTGCAGCACGTATTCATCAGGTCATTGAAAACCAAATTTGAGGCCAATCGGACGAGCTTTAAGACTTCAGAATTGTGAACGTTAATTTAAATCCGAAAGTTCACCAGCAAATTTTTCTCAGCCAGGAGGCATGGATTTTCCGAAAAAAGTGTGAAACGAATTTCAAATAAATTCAAAGAAGGATCTTTGCCTATGAGTATGAGGTCGTTCGGATGATAAACCAAAAAGTTTCACACAAAGTTTTTCCACACTTGCAGGTGGAACTTACCAACACCTCGTCTTAGCGTCCATCACCAGTCTGTCAGTCAATCAGTCAGTCAGTCAGTCAGTTAGTTAGAGATAACACGGATTGGCCTACTATAAACTGTATCAATCAGACGAACAAGCATTTCAAATACCAAGAATTTCTGTTCGTTTTAATAGTTGCTTTAGGTTAGGGCATCGCATGTGCAGCTAAATGTGTTTTAGGGTCCTTTTGTCGTCTGCTGCTGGCTCTGGTCCTGGCACGACTGTCGCCGGCTGCTGTTGCTGCTGCTGTCCGTCGTCCTGCGCTATCCTGTGCTGTGCTCCTGTTTACCGTTATTTTATTATGCAAGAAACAAAAGTTTCATTTGTTTGTAACGCTTCTCGTTCAGCGGGAACCATCAATCATTCGCCGTGTTGTGCGACGTCTTTTCAGCACGACAAACAGCACCAAGAAAGTGAACGAGTGAGAGAGAGAGAGGGAGACATGGAGGGAGAGCGAGAGAGGGAGAGGGAGGAAGAGAGAGAAGGAGAGATTGGGGTTGTATATGAAAAAAAAATGTTTCATTTTCACTCTAAACAAATTGCATGCCACAGAAGTTGTTGGCGCAAGGGTAGGGGTACGAGAGGTACTAGAGAGAGGGGGCGTGGGAGGGGGTAAGTGAAGTGCTTGCCACGTGCCACGTGCTGCGTTTTGTGCTCCATGTCAGCCGTCGCATTCCTTTAATCTGCTGCTGCTTCTTCTTCTTCTTCTTCTTCTTCTTCTTCTTCTTCTTCTTCTTACTGCTTCTTCTTTTTCTGCTGCTGCTCTCGCAAATAGTTTTCGTTGAATATGTTTCAACTCTTTGTTGACTTTTCATCACGTTCGGAACTTTGTCGCCAGCCTTGATCTGGAGTCAACTTAAATCAAGAACTTAAACAGATCCAAAACTATTGTATACAATTCTATGGCATATTTATTTAGCTATTGGTTTTGGAGCTCTTATGCAAATTGCTTTCAAAGGTCTTGTTAGTTTTGCACACTTTATTTTTTTCTCATTTTTTCAACGATATTAGAGAATTTGACACAAGTCTGGCAACGCCAAATTGTCAAGCCGGCCGTAGCTAAATGCCTGAGGTGCTCATGTTCTTGTCAAAGTTCATGTTAGTTTTTTCCAGTTACTTTTATTATTCAAAAGATGTACGAAAATGTTGTACAAGTCTGGCAACGCTGTGTCGTTAAGTCATTTGAAATGTTACTAAATATGATAAATGATCGTTTATTACATTCTGTTCGCTAGTTGACGTTGCCACAGGTGCCATGGATAACCAGGTGGCAGCACTGTTGACAGCTTGATAAGCTAAGAGTTATGTTTTGGCAGGCAGTTCAACATGAAGGCAACAAGGCACTTGACAACAGGTTAAACTGCTTGTCCACCGGGATGTTTTAGTACTCTCATGGCCTTTTTAATAGCTACAAATTTAGCCTTTTAGCTGGCACTCGTTTTTCGCAAGAAACCCGAACGAAAAGAACGTCGCACTCGACTTGGTTATTAAGTTGTACAAAATGAATGCTAACCTGACAAATTCCAGCTAAGCAACCATCTGCAGCTAATCGGCAAAAATATTAGGCTTATGTATGAACTAAGTATGAATCCATTCGTTTCGCGTTCGCGCGAATTCACTTGTGTTCGGTTAAACGCATTCACCTCGCCAACATTTGACCTTCAAAGCTGCTTGAGCTCTGGCAACTGCTGCTTCGAAGGGTTTAGCCATTTATTTTGCAACTAATAGCAGACATGAACCCCCCACCCCGTTTGCCCCACCCCATGCCAACCCCCTCTCTACCCCCTCCATCAGCCCGCACAGCTCGAGTCGAGTAGTCATGCAACTGAAATTTATAGAGGCACATTAAACTTTTAAATGATAAATTGCTGAATATAATTTACGTGAAGCTTTCCGCTGACACGCCCCCCCCCCCCCCCTGCCAAACACGCCCCTTTCGCTGTATAGCCAACCAAATGAGTGAGGGGCGGGGGGTGTAGTTGGGTTGGGTTTTCGGGATTAAGGGGCAGCGCTGCGGGTGGCAGTCAAGTT